TTTGTGTGTTCCATGAACTTCTTGCTTATTTTTAAAACCTCTATGTAGGCAATCGATTTGGCGTCACAGTTATTTGTATGGTAAACGTTACGATTTCGAGGTTTAAAGATTACTAACATTACAACTTTCGGCCTGAACAGTTTAACTCCGTGCAACTCTGGCTTCTCCGGCTTCAATAAACACGACATTAGTACCAATGGTTCGAAGCTTTATCTGATTCACACCGGAAAAGTAAATGGAGTGGATCTTCAGTGAAAAAAAACCCCTATCTCTTTCACACTGTACGGCACAAATAAACCTAGAAATGTGATTAAACAAGATCGTATAAATATGTTTATTTAAAATATAGTCTAAAAATTATAAGTCTTTATGTGGTAATTACTATTTATTGTGGTTAATTTCCGATGTTGTAAGTAGTTTAGACGTGCACTGATTAGATTATTATTGAACAGTGAATTAGGAAGGAAATAGAAACTAAATTCTGGAGCGTAATTTAAGGTATTATGCCGACATCTGCATGGAGGGACTTAAAACACCAAAAAAAACCCTGCCATCTAGTCTGTCCCCGTGTCCAGACTTAAACCCAGGACCTCCAAAATAAGCCTTAGTGCTCATTGCTCGGCCGTGACGTTCAATTTCACGTGATACTAAAAATCTAAGAGCTATAATCACGTACATTAAATGCTTAAAATTAACATTTATGTACGTAGGTATATAAAACTATTTATTAGAAATCATAAGTTGTCGGATAATTTCGATTTTCTGACCGATAAAAAAAGTACACCAAAGACCAACAGTAGTCACGGACCACCGATTGAGAAACAGTGTCGTGTACAATTAGGTACCCAGAATTTCTATTGTTTTTTTCACATATCAGCGTCAATTCATAAATCAATACATAAACACATATGTACAAGACAGCGTTTTCCCCAAGACCAGCTCCTGTCCAGTACCTGAAATGCAATCGGTAGGAAACCTACCGGGAAATTTCAGACGGTGTATACGCTGGGGCGTGCTGTTAGTTCGGTGGGCTGAGAGCTATGAACATGAACTGATATCCAGTCAAGTAAATTTCTACAAGACACAAGAGGCCATGGCTCATGTTCTACTAAACTAAGTGTAGTACACATGATCACTCATTACGTTAAGAATGTGTGGAACTTTATCTCCATTTTCGATACACCTATGAATATGTAGATGAAATGGATGTTCCGATACAAATAGAAATTTAGAATTTAAAATTACTTGACATTCTTGGATTGTAAATAGTCAAATTTTAAATACCAAAAAATATTAAATGTAAGACTTGAGGTTCTCACAGCGGTGAGTATGAAGATATCCGTCATACTGCCTCCGTCATCAGGGCGATCGCCCTGATGACGGAGGCAGTATGACCTCTGAAACGTTGGTTAACATCAACCAGACTACACAGCGCAACAACCCAGAAGACAGACATCTTCATCGCCCTGATGACGGAGGCAGTATGACCTCTGAAACGTTGGTTAACATCAACCAGACTACACAGCGCAACAACCCAGAAGACAGACATCTTCATCGCCCTGATGACGGAGGCAGTATGACCTCTGAAACGTTGGTTAACATCAACCAGACTACACAGCGCAACAACCCAGAAGACAGACATCTTCATCGCCCTGATGACGGAGGCAGTATGACCTCTGAAACGTTGGTTAACATCAACCAGACTACACAGCGAAACCACCCAGAAGACGGATATCTTCATATTAAATGTAATTTAACAAATATGAAACTGTTACGTAATAACAGCTAAAAAGTCAAAGTAAATGAGAATATTTTTTCTTACCTGCTTCGTTTTCGCCGGGTTCTTCGTCGGTGCGGCATCGTAGCTGTGCTGTAAAGAAAGAGAAACGAATATTAGAGATACTGCTTTGGCATTTGGAAGCGGTCACGTATCGTTACATTAAAAAAGTATAATTACACATCAGAAACCCTTTTAAAAAAGCAAATGGATTTTATCATCAAACCTCATCTACGTAATAACTTAATTTAATCTGAACTCGAAAGATTATTGGATTTACAGTTGCCACTGCGATCCGTTCCGACCTAAAATGTCCAGAAACATACGACAAATGCGTTACTGTGACCTGTTCAGTCCACATCCTGCACTTAAAACTGCATTCTCATAAATTACAAATTTCATGTCAACAGGTTAACATTTCATGTTTTCAATGTTCGTCCATATAGCATTTTGTGCTTGTGACAACCTTAAATGAATTTTAACAACAGATTTCCATAGCTGGACTGAACAGACTTCAGTTCTATAAATCTTGTGTCGCAGTTAATCCAAAACTCACGTCATGTAAGTTTATAATTCAACAATAAAATCCAACCAAACTGCTTGAATGTTGTATTTCATCATTTTATTAATTGAGCTTTCTGCCCTGTCCCATTTCAAAAAAGAGTTATAAACCTGTGAATAGTTTTAGACATCTAACAGGACTCCCTGGACGGGGGATCAGCCCGACGTAAAACCTATACTTATAAGAGACAATACAACGCAGAAAAACATCGAGATACATCCCATGCCTCGAGTAAGATTCGAAACCACTATTCCATTATTCGATAGTCTACGCCCTAGACCGCGTAAACATTGCGATCGGCACATAATATCGTTATTATCTTACTTATTTTCGTATAATGTTACATATGAAATTAACGACCCGTCAGGGTAAACTCCTCAAGATGTGTGACTTCGAGAACTGCAGTCTTTTGCAGGTGCAGACTGAAGTTTTTATAAATGGCAAACAAATACAATTCAATATAAACAACAGTTCATACCTAATTTGTAAGCAGCCCTATGTTTTATAACCAAACTTCATACCAAATTGCACAATGCCTATTTCACATGCCTGGCTTCACTGTTTCGTTAGCAGTCGCTTTATTAATGACAGCTACATGAATATTCTAGAACAGCTGCAATTTTGTTTTACATTCTACCTTAACAAGAGTTTTTGCCTTCTCTCTTTTCCTGTGGCTCTACAACCCAGTGTGGGTCTTGGTCGCCTCCCTTTGGAGGTTTCTTAATCTATTTTTACCTGCCTTCATTAATAATTTAAGGACCCCATCTTTAAGTGAAGCTAGCGTCACTCTCTCCTCAGAAGTTCGTTCGTCTGCCACATTGTAGGAAACACAGAACTACAAGACTAAGGTGGTCTCCAAAGACATACGAGGTGCGATCGGAAAGTTTCTAGACTGCGCGTATAAAAACCCGTACACTTATCTCAGGTATTAAATTCATCCATCACCCTCGAAGTAGTTCCCCTGGGAGTGAACACAACGATCCCAGCGCCGCTGCCAAGCCTGGAAGCATCCCTGGAAATCTTTCTTTGTCAGCCTGTCAAGCACCATCTGCGATTCTGTCTGAATCTCTTCTATCGTCTCAAATCTCCTTCCCTTTAGCTGAATTTTCATCTTTGGGAAGAGGAAGAAGTCACACGGAGCTTAGGAAGGAAGTTGGGGTCGGTTCTTGCAAGATCTTTTAGCTCCTGACAAACGAGAAGTCGATTCTGCTTCTGGTCCTCAGACAGGAGCCTTGGTTTCGCATGTGGAGTTCTTCCTTTAGAATCAGCTGACAGGTCCCAACAATGTCGCACAAGTCGTTATGGTACGACGTCGATCTTCGTGAATGGCCTGCCGAATCTTCGTACCATTTTCGGGCGTTGTGCTCGAAGATGGTCGTCCAGAACGCTCGTCATCATCGACAGAAGTTCGGCCGTTTTTAAAACGTGAATGCCACACAAAAGTTTGTGCACGACCCATTGCGGACTCCCCAAATGCTTGCTTTAGCATTTCATAGGTTTCCGTAGCCGTTTTGGCGAGTCTTTGGCAAGAGATTCAGGCAGAATCGCAGATGGTGCTTGACAGGCTGACAAAGAAAGATTTCCAGGGATGCTTCCAGGCTTGGCAGCGACGCTGCGATCGTTGTGTTCACTCCTAGGGGAACTACTTCGAGGGTGATGGATGAATTTAATACCTGAGATAGGTGTACGGGTTTTTATACGCGCAGTCTGGAAACCTTCCGATCGCACCTCGTACGGTCAAATAGTCGAAATGTTGAGGGGCGCACACAGAGAATAGTGATCTCAGCTTAGTCCTTCCTTAAGAAAGGAATGTTGACTAGATCACAGAAAATAATAACGTCTTATTATCAAATAGAACACATATCTACATTGAAAACCGTATAGTATTATTTTAAAAGCTAAGTTACTTTTATGTTCCACAAAGTTTTCCCTCTGCAGATGGGAACTGGTGAGGTTCACATAATTATATCTCATGTTCGCGTCTAGACATTTATATAACCCAGTCTATGCTTTTATCTTTTATACTTCCACTTTTATATCTTAATTCAGAAAAAGGAGCATATACGAAAGTATAAGATTTAATAGCATCACCTTCACTAATTTGTTCCCTTTGGTATGTATCTGCGTGTTAAAACGAAATGTTATACATCAGGGCCGAATACTCTACAAACTCACAAGGCAGACGAATAGCATACTACAGCTTCATACAAGAAATCAGTTCGAATGTACATCAAGATAAAGTCCGTATGAGATGTGTATAGATGTCCCTAAATTCGATATTTTGCTACAAAGTACTGTGTTTATGATATGAGATTTGATTTGCTTCCACGTATAAGTTGAGACTGAGTAGGGTATGTGACAGCAATTATTTCACTTGCAGAAATCAAGAGCATCCAATCACGAATTGGAGGGAAAAAAGTAGGAATTTTAACGAAATAGTCACGATTTATTTCGGGGTATTCGGATGCTAGTTTGAACAACTGGCGATCAAGGATCTAATATAACGTTTAAAATATATTTCGGAATATCAATGAAAGTTACGACGTTCCAGAAATCTTCAGGGGAGGAAAATGAATCAGTAAGCAATGAGTATACTCCAAAATGAAAATTAAATGATTAATATAATCATGGAAATTTTATAAATCAAGCAGAGCAAGATTTCTCCCCTTGAATATACATGCCAGATAAGTCTGGAGACCAATGGAATGACGCGGACACCGCAAGTAGAAGCCGACAGTAATCGACAAAGTTGTCGCAGAAATTAAAAGGAAGGGTTGAAACTAGTAACATCCTTTAAAATGGCCTTGAAGAGTTTGAAAATTTGGGACCTGGCTTGATACGACGTAGCAGCTACATTTATACACATGTTTTTCGCAGTTCTATTTTGAACACCTTTTCTTTGTGCATGTTGGTTTTTGTACAATGTGATGTAAGCAAGTGTTAATATCATGTGCTTTTTTTTACAGCTGTCGGCAACTTGACAGCCAGCAAATGTTGTGACAAGCCAACAGCAAATGTTCCCACTATGGCGTCATCACGGACCTGTTCGCGTTCCAGATGGAGAGCTGTGTGCCAGACAGTGAACGCGATTCGGTGGAGGATGGCCTCGTCCAAGTAGATCGGCAGCATGTCATTGTTACTGTTCTTCACATTGTTACTCTTACAATAGTTGCTGTTTCCACCACAACAATGCGTCCTCTTGCTTCCACACGACAAATATCCAACGCGATTACTCCTAGACGCCATCATTTGTGTCTCAAATCATTCACTTCAAGTTACGCGATTATCACACTTACGTACAGCAATAAAAATCCTGAAGACGAACTCATCCTCAACTATTTATAAAAAATAATAACAAAAAATCGTAAGAAAAATACATAAAAAATATGATTGCTATCTTCTGGCTTATTAAGCCGTGTAGTCTGGTAATGTCCACCAATGTTTCAGAGGTCGTGCTGCCTCCGTCATGAGGGCGACGAATACATCGCCCTGATGACGGAGGCAGCACGACCTCTGAAACGTCGGTAAACTTATACCAGATTCCAAGGCGTAACATCCCAGAAGATAGTTACCGTGAGAACATGAGCTCTCAATTTTAAAACGATATTATTTGTTGCATTATCACTGATGTCGCCCAGAGAGATAACGTCAAGCAAGTCTTTGAATCATATTTTACGACGCACTATCTATTTAGCCTGGTTTTGTTAAGAATGAAATCTTTACAGAGACTTGATGTGTTTTCAATCGTAAATCCGCCGGCATGTTTCATCTCGGAAACCATTTAACGCACTTGAATTAAATGTGGTATAAGGGTAGGTTTACAAGTCCACACGGAATGCAATTCACCTTAATTTTATTTAAATTCTATAGACCAATATAATTCGTACTTATGACAAAGCTCAAATCTAACTTCTCTGTTCCTCTGAAACGGCTAGTTACGCATGATACAAAATGCATATCGCATTAATATCTGTTAATTTTGTTCCACTTATTTTTCGATGTCAATAATTAAGGGCACAGAAACGAAAAATGGTACACCTCTTCAGTGTCCTGTCCGTGATATTCGTTTAGATTTATAACAGTAGATCTGTATCTAATGTTGTTACATAAAATCGTAACAGAAAAATACAAATGCCTTTCGAAATAATACACACTCCAAAACTGAGAATTACTTTTTCACTTTCTTATGGGACGAATCGCTGAATTTAAAATACATAGTGTCTCAGCTACGAAACCCCGAAATTGTTTACCTGACGGAGAATATCCTAACAAATACACCTATATTTACTTGCATGAGCATAAAAGTAAATTCAAGGACTCTGATAACATGAGTGTGCATTAGATAACGTTAGAACAGTGGAAGTATTCAAGACACTGGTGCATGAACCGCAAGGTATGTCGGAAGGAAATACACAAACCTTTAGCTCACATTTTGAATGTTAGCAACATGGAATTATCTTAATCGCTATCCCTGTTTGATCATACTCTCAAAACAAACACGTCTTTAGGTCTAATAAAACAGTAAAGAGGT